CTGTTTAAGGCTACATTTCAGAAATAAGTTCTTATTATAAATGTTTATCTAATAAGTGCATATTAGTGTTTGGGAGGTGTTTTTTCAAAATGTTTATTTTTAAAATAAATAGTGTTTGGTTTGATGCTTATCCCATAAGTGTTTATTTAGCAAAAATGACAATTATATCCTTCACTTAACATAGCCATATATTAGAATTACGAACAATCACCCTGGTTGATCGTCGTTGTTGCAAGTGCACAGGTGAATGGGAAAGAAACTCGATGAAATGATAAGGTTTCTTTTGTTTTTGAAGATAAGGGCAATACTTGAAAAAAAATTCAAAACATTGGGGGCAATTTTGTCCAAAAAAATGAAATAAACACTTGAAAATAGCTTGATAATTCTAGTTTCATTTTTAAGCACTTATTTCACATGCAAGTGTTTATTATGGGCTATTGAAGGCTTTTTGTAATCCAAATAATATTTAAATAATTTATAACCCAAATAAGTGGGTTGGCTAATCTACTACTAATCATCAAAATAAAAAAAAAGGGTGTCCTGTATGGATTCCCTCTCTTTAAGGGTGAGGGACAGGTGTCCTTCACCTAGGGGGAGGGGTAGTTGCTACTCCTATTTAAGCTCCTTAAGGGGAATTTAGAGGCTCTTTCCTCATTTTCAGAGAAAATTGTGTCTCAAGAGATTCTTAAGAAAAACCAAGAAAGGTAGAAAAAAAAGAATTCTCAAGGGAAGACATGGAGGGAAAAGAAATTTCACTAACACAAGTGGAAAAGGAAAGCGCTCTTACTGAACTATATATGCCTTATGCTATGTATCATTTTTCTATCTTTTATTTTTACTTTTAAGAATGGGAGTAGATGGAAATAAACCATGTAAGATCATGTGATTTTACTTGGTTGATTATGTTCCCTCTGTCAAGACAAGTTAGGGATTAAACCATCTATAATTTAATTCCTAATGGCTGATGATGACTCCTTTCAAATGAAAATGAAGAATAAAGGGATAAAAATTGTCTACAATCAAATATTCAACTTGATTGACTATGATTCCCTTATTGTATATAAAATCCAAAGGATTAAGATTGTCTAAAATAATAATTTCATCTGATTGACTACAACTTATTGTGAAAGAAGGAGTTAGAATTAATAAAGTATTCTTTGTATCAAAAATAAAAGAAAGAGAGAAATGTATTGTTGTAGAGTTTCTCGATTGTATTTTCTCTTTTTTTTTTCTTCTCATTATTGTAAAGTTAATGTAAAAGAAATGCAAATGAAAAGTTCTTTTTTTTTTAAGTATTCTACATTTTTGTGAAGATGTAATTAAGGGGAACAATCTATATGATTCCCCGAATGGGCCTTACCTAAAATAATAAAAACTCGATCACTTGAATGAGTGAATTATGTTGCATGAGAATTTATTATAAATTTTACACCAACATGGGCTTATTTATAAAACACATATAAATGCTTATTCTAGGCTTTTTATGTGATCCAACACTTAAAAATAAGTACTTATTTAATAACTCCCAAATAGGAGCTAAGACAATTATTTTGGGCTATCTAGGGTTTTCACCAAACATGGGTTATAAGCTGTCTCGGTGAGGCCCACTTTGCAAAGCTAGAAGCTGTTGCTTGAATATTGGAAGCCCTCCCATAGTAAAAGCCAACTTATTTGGGTAAATTGGCTAAGCACCAACTTGTGTTAAAGTTTCTTGGGTCATTGTCTCTTTTTAGGGCTAACTTTCATCGGAAAGAATACGTGAGAATTAGGAAGTTTGGATGGACCCTCTCATTAGAGCAATACTAGAAGAGACCTATGCTATGCATATAAGGGTGCAAGTTGAACCGGGTTAGGTTAGGTTTAGGTCAACCCAAGTCCAACATGAGTTGTTAAACCCTTAACCCTAACTCTAAAACTTTAGATTGGGTTTGTGTTGGTCCAACTTCTCTACTTTCTTTTACAAAATAAATTTATTTCTTAGATTATAAGGGTTCATGTCAATTCAATATTAGCATTATTATGTGTAAAAAAAATATAATTATCATGTTTTAGAAAAATATTGCCTTTTAAACTAAAAATTCTTTACATACAATATATAAATTTATACATAAATACATAAATGCATACATGTATAAATAGACAAATATGTATATATATTTATGGATGCATTGCAGCTTATGCATACATGCAAGAATAGTGAAGATGCATATATACAAGTACTTACAAGCATAAACATATTTATATAATTTTTATACATGCAAATATGAAGTTAATTTGGGTTTGGGTTGGTTAAGTCCTCAACCCTAACCCAACCTAAAGTTAAATCAGGTTGTAGTTTTCAACCCTAACCCTAACTCAAACTTCAAGTCAACCCAATCCAACCCTAATTTCTTGGGCTGGGTTAGGACGAAAGATTGCAGCCTTAGATATATGGGCTAGATTTAAAAAAGATGGCATGTTACATTCACTTAAATTAATTGACTTTGTGGGTAAACTTAAATAGCCCTATATTTAGTTTTTATTTTTAAAATTCAAAAACAATAAAAAAATTTCTAGAAGGATTAGGAAGTATATAGTATTAGAGTTTTGATGTGGACAACTCCATTTTAAAACATAGTATAGATTATTTAGTTTGGAAGGCAATATATCACATCATAGGGTGGGGGTTGTTCCAATAAGCGGTTTTAGGGTAAATTACTTATACCTCCCTTGGAAAGAGACTGTCCAACAGTTCGGCGTTCTTAGAGACTCTCGAACAGTCGAGCAATGGAGACAAAGGCTAAGAGGGACACGAACATATGTGATTTTCTCTCTCCTCTTCGCCTTTTGATTCGGTGTGGTGGGACTGCACCATATGCTTGGTTGAACCTAACTCAACTTCATCTCACTTTTTGTTCTTTTGTCTCCTTGTTCCAAGCTCTACAACTTAGATATGAAGGAGTAAAAATGCAAATACAAATATGTAGGATGTAAATGCATACAAAATATAAGGTTTTGTACTCTACATATTTGTATTTATACTCCTTCCAAACTAAGACATTATTTTTCGGGCTTAAAAGCACTGCCAACACAGTGATTAGCAATGAAGGCCGCAAAAGGTGTCTCATGCAAAGATGGAGACGGAAAAACAATCTCATTCACATCTTCTTGGAAGTTTCTATCAATTGTGCTTTATTTTGAAATTTTGAAGAATTGTAGAAGACAGATTTGACATTTCATTTTTTTTTGTTAACACTCAATGACAATGTCAATTATTAAAAATAGTAGGGATAGTTTAAGACAATAATTAAATGACAAGGGTAGAGTTAATCAATTAACTAAACCATAAGAGTAATTTAAGAAATTTATCCATATTTTAATTATCACATATATAAAATATATATTGCATTTTATATAATAAAGGAATATGACCTAAGATAGAATCACATGGCCATGTCAACCTTCTTTATGAATCATGTGATTGTATTAAAAACTCTATCTTCTATGGTGTTCAAAAAATAAGGATTTTGCTAATTCTAAAACTATGGTTTAGTGGAACAAGCTGTTGTTGATTATTTTTAGTTTAAGTCCAATATAGTTCAATATTCGATCACAATCAAAGTGTCATAAGCTCATTTTTAGTTTAAGTCCAATATAGTTCAATATTCGATCGCAATCAAAGTGTCATAAGCTCGGGAACTGTTTAGGCAATTGGGTTCATTTCATTTTTAACCCATTCCTTGACAAAAACCGTTAATTTGGTCAGTGACATGTTGATCAACAGCTGGAACGGGCCATCCATTTGAATTGGATGGTCAAACTGCTCATTTAGAAATCGGTGTGCAAAGCGGTTTCGGTTCCGAATAGGGTTTTAAAGGGAAATTGTTAAAAACTCACCATGAGTTTTCAGCATTTATCTTAAACTCACCACAACTTTTCAAAATGTTTAAAACTCACCATGTCACTAACTTGATGTCAAAGAGACTAACGATTGTTAATATATTACCATTTTAGCCTTCATAGAAAAATATTAAATATCTACATATATTTTAATACTTAGATATGAAAAAAAAGGAAAAGTTCATCAAGAAAAAATTTCAAATATAAAAACACAGAAATTATAAAAATATAAAAATTATAGAAATTGCACACAAAATAAAAAAAAATATTTTTAAATTATAGAAACTATAAAAGTTGAAAAACAAAATCAGAAAATAAAAATTGTAGAAAATACAAAAAATTATAGAAAAACACAGAAATTGAAAATAAATAACACAAAACACAGGAAATTTTATAGATGGTAGAAAATAGAAAAATGTAAAAAACAGAAATTATAACAAAACACTAAAAATGTAAAAAAAAGAAAATTAAAAAGATGAAGGTCAAAATGGTATTATATTTTATATTTTTCTATGAAGATTAAAATGGTAATATATTAATAACCATTAGTCTCTTTAACGTCAAGTTAGTGGTATAGTGAATTTTAAACATTTTAAAAAGTTGTGGTAAATTTAAGAAAAATGGGTCTACGCATTGGTTCAAATAGACAAATACAAACGTATCATATATGGGTCTACGCATTCTACGAATATTCGGTTCCAATCGATCCGTTAAGGCTAAAAAGCTTGCGCCAGATCAAACTAGCATGAGAAAAGGTCGACTCCGGAACAAAATCGTGCGGTTGATCCGACAACTATTGACCGAATGAGCTTGGTGAGCCCATTCCATTCTCACAAGCTGCTACCTTGGATTAGAAAATTGAACGCTCGGTTCGGGTCTGGATTTTAAATGACCCGAATCGACCATACCCGGTTTTCAGGTGGCAAAAACGGAGAGAACTCTAGTAGAAATAGAAAGAGCACGGTTGATGTATTTTCTGTCTTTTCTGCTTTTCTTTCCAACAAGATTGGATGTTGATGCTTACTTGATTCCAATCGGACAACGACAAGGGCATCGTTTATATGTGGTCCCCACATTGAGTCAGGATTTGCCGAAGAACTCAAGAAAGAAATCGGTCCCAGACCCAAGTGACTCGTGATATTGCTGCTCAATATCTCCGGAAAACGACACTGAAGATCTTCTTCTCGAATGTGATCACCATTTCTCTGATCGATAAAACCTGTGTTTTTCTCTTCCGCTCAATCCCAATTAGAATGTATACCGTTCGTCGGCCCAGACTCTAGCGACCTGCCTTCCCGTTTTTTGGATGGTTTGTTTCTTTTAGAACGAACCTCCATTTCTGCAGAAGCTAAAATATCTTTCAGTTCAATAAATGCGATAAATTCAGTCTATTCCAGCTGGGTTTGTGGAATTTGCCTCTGGGTCTCCTTCATTTTTAGAGGAAGTGGATATTCTTACCTGTTGCTGGTAAAAGTTCGGTCCGTTCAGTCCGGGTATACTGTTAAACGGCCAAGTGTTTTTGATTATAAACTGTGTTAATAAATTTCAATCGGTTAGTTTAATATAATGTTCCCGTTGAATCTGGACATTTCATTGAGAATTTTGACTGAACGCAGACGTTTAATTTCAGCTGGACACTGATTCATTTCGATTTGTTTTGATTTTCTAGACACTGCTTGAAATTTTGATATATTTGAGTTGGATTTTGCTAGGTTTGATTGAGTTCATCGGTTCTGGTTGATATCTGGAAGACATGGTGACTCTGGGGTTGGCTTCTGGGAAGAAATCCTTTAAAACGGTGAATTTGGTCTTCAGATTACCGTATTATACTCAGTGGGGGCAGAGCCTTCTCGTCTGCGGTTCAGAACCTGTGCTTGGTTTGTGGAATGTGAAGAAGGGTATCCTTTTAAGCCCTTTTCATCAAGGTGAGGAACTTATTTGGTCCGGAAGAATCGAGGTTCCATGTGGGTTCCAGTGTGAATACAGTTATTATTTGGTGGACGATAATAGAAACATTCTGAGATGGGAGGCTGGAAACAAACGCAAATTTGTACTGCCCGAAGGGATTCAGGATGGTACCATGGTGGAGCTTCATGACCTATGGCAGGTCCTGCTCTTGTTCGTGGTCTTTTTTGATTCTTTTTCTGTTTTTTCCTTATTCCTCTGTTACACTACATAGAATATTCTGTAAAGTGGGAAAGTTATGTGGTCATATTTGGAGACTCATGCTTGCTTCTGCCCTCTTAGCTGGAGAAGGGATCCACTAAGCAAAGCTAATAAGACTTTATTTCAAAGTAGTCAAACATGCAATGAAATTTGCTAATCAGCTATGTCTAGGCTGAGAATTAAATCTTTTCAATCACCATGTTGATGGACAAGGTGCAACTTGGTGGACAAGTAGGCTAGTTCTATAGAATGAAGTGTGGATGGACATTCAAAACCTAAAGCATGTAAAATTAAAAAGAGGGCCATTATCCTTTGTTGGTCCCAGCTATTTGGGGTCTTGATAGAGGTTGACTGGATACAGACCTAACCTTTGACATCTTTTTGCATAAAATGACTGCTCTCAAGCTGCATTCTCACACTTGTAGACTGTAGAGGTAATATAGAGAAAAATACTCATGGATTTTGCTAGTTCAAAATTAATGAATTTATGTTCTAACTAGTTCTTTTAAGTACAAGTTTTAAACTTTTAATCAATAAGTTGAAAGATATACTTGGTATCTTCAGTTGTAGGGAGATTTTTCTGTATGTTACATTGTATGAGCACAATAACTAGGACTTCTAGTTACAGGGAAGCTCTGGTTTTGTGTTCATTTTGTTAGAGGCAGTACATGCTTTCTGCAGTCAACCAGGTTGTTGAAGAGACAAATAAATCCCAATTGGTGTTGGAATATGGCAGGAAGGATGGATCTTGAGGAGCCTGCATAGCATAAATGTTCATTATGTACTATAATGGACCGCCATCTTTTGAAAATGTTATTTTTGGCAGTATATCTAGTGCAGTTTTAACATGTAAAAACTAAAAAGATGAGTGGATTTTTGGGATTAACCATCCTTGCTCTTGAGGCATGCTTCTAATGGGTATGAAGCTCTGTGATGGCTTAATTGTAGATACAAGTCTTTCCTCATTTACTGCCCATCAAGAGGGAAAATGACATAAATACATAATATTGCTTTCAGAGGCCAACCATAGGTTGCTTTTAATAAAGGAGCTAAGTTTGGTTGTAGGTATGCATTGTAGCTGCTGCCAAAAGTGGGTATCATGAAAAATAGTTTCCTGCAACTGGCCAAGTCCTAGGTCTAGGCATTTCTGAAGGTACTTGTCTCTGCTAAAGACACATGGTATGTTTGGAATTATACCCTAGTGTCATGCTTTTTTGTTATTACTCTATGGGTGTAAACCTTTGATTGATTTCCAAATTTTGACATAGGGGATACTTTCACAGCACTTTAATATGATGTCATGTATGCATGTGGTACCTGTTAAAGGAAAACATTGCTTATTTCTCATGGGCTTGCTTAACAAGTTGTAACCTCTGGATTTTGTTGCTTGACTTGTTCCATAGATGCCTTGTCTTGGTTGTTCTTATTCAAAGATGCTTATTTGATTGTAATTTTCATATGTTCACAATTTAACATGATATATTTCCTCACAATATGTGAAATTAGAATATTCAATCACTTTTTCTGTTTTACTTCAACCTGTTCTTGATTTCATAATGATAACCTTTCTGCTTATCATTAACTCCTGTTTCATTCCCTTGCTTCAAAAGGTAGAACCTACTCTGGTATTTGCTCTTTAAATTTTTATATTATTTAACTGAAGGTATGTAACAGCTTCACCTTAATGATTTTTCTGTCCATATTTTGTGGGTTCAGACAGGTGCAGACACTCTCTTTTTTAGAAGTGCCTTCAAAAAAGTCATCTTTAAGGAAAGTTGGTGTTTGGATTCAGAAAAACCTTTAGGAGCCTTTCAGACTAACCGGGAAGGTATCTGCTGCAGTTTAAGATTTTTGCTTGTACCTTAATGAGTGCCTTTTATTTCTTTTGTTTGAGATGTGGGGTTCCATTGTTCCTTACAGTGGATAATATCATAATATTTTCATTGTAACTGTGATTTTTGTAACAGATTCTGTCATGGTTCATTTTAAAATAAGCTGCCCAAGGATAGAAAAAGATGCATCAGTAAGTTTCTCTTGACCTGTCAATTTTATCTTTGCGTACTAAAATTTTTTTGAACATGCATCAGATAGTAAAATTCCCAGGTATTTACATTTCAGTACTTTCTGTGGCATGTATTAGCAGGTATATGTGATTGGTAGCTCAACCAAATTAGGAATGTGGAAAGTTGAGGATGGACTTAAACTTAACTATGCTGGTGAATCATTTTGGCAAGCAGATTGTGTGATGAAAAAAGATGAGTTCCCAATAAAATATCCTTCTTTCGATCTTTTATCACATGATGTGAATAGTTTCCTGAATATTTCCTTTGTTCTATTTCTCTCTATGTTCAATCCACAACCAAGGGGCAACTCCTTTCCTTGACATTATTTCCACATACAGGTACTGTCAGAGTGGTAAGACAGGAAATGTCTCAGTGGAAGTTGGTTCAAATCGGGAGCTCTCTGTTGACTCAACATTACAAAGTCCACCAAGATATATTTGCCTATCTGATGGCATCTTTCGAGTAAATTAAAGAGTGTGAACCAGATTCTATCTATGTTACATGGGCACTGGTATTATGTCAGAATCTGGCACTGATATGGTGTGTTGACCTTGGCAAACCCAAAAAGTAGAGGATTTGGGGACTCTCATCTTTTGTACTTTAGTCTTAAGTTACATTTTTTAATGATATTTTTTATGTTATTTGAACTATGAGATAGTTGAAAAAAAGATCAAATGAAAATGCATAAATCAGTTGAAATATGATATACTAAGTTATTAAGTATTAAAATTTTACCATTCATGTCCAAATTTTATAGATGCAACAAAGAGAAGGGTCCTATCAATGTGGTGTCAATTTCAGTGCCCACACATGTCACCAAAATTACAGTGCCCATTCTGAAGTGTCCATGTAATATAGAATTTTATGAGTAGCAATTGTTCTCTTTTGCAGGTATCAACAAGCAATCCTAATCTATTAGTTTTTTTTTTTTTTTTTTTTTTCTTAATTCTTTTTCAGGACATGCCATGGAGGGGTGCTGGTGTTGCAATTCCCATGTTCTCAGTCAGATCAGAAGATGGCCTTGGAGTTGGAGAGTTCCTTGACCTAAAGTTACTTGTAGACTGGGCAGTTGGTTCTGGATTCCATCTGGTTCAACTTTTACCGGTTAATGATACTTCTGTGCATATGATGTGGTGGGATTCATACCCCTACAGGTATAAAAGCCATGCCACCTTCAAAGTCCTATAACATGAAAGTTTATGTCAGTAAAATAACTGAAGTACATAATTCAGTGTTTTCCTTTCAAATGTACATCTCTGCATGATGTAGTCACATTCAAGGTTCAAAATATCGATAGCTTTTTCTTATTTTTTAGTTTTTTTTCAATCTGGTTCAGAGGGACTGGTTTAAGGTCCGTCCACCCCCTGAACCGATCGAAACCCCGAAACACCCCCTGGAGGGGCGTATCGGGAAGCCTCCGATATAATACGTATCGGGCCGTATCGCCTGATACGTATTGAAATTTCGAACCTTGGTCACATTCATATCCCTGAAGGTAGAACAAAATGTGGCCTGAAGTCTTATAATATGAAATTAAAAAAAATCACTTGAATCATTTGTGTTCGGCTTGAATGCTACTCTAGTAATTAAAAAAATGATAAGTCCATAGATATAGTCATGCTGAGACACCATAAAAAAAATTCATTTTGCTAATAGTTTGTATGGTTATAGTAGAAGTTCAGGACTGTTATCAGTCTTGAACCCTAA